ATGTGAAATTTATAATTTGAAGGAAGTCATGATCTTTAAGAAAGAAAGACTCTTCTTTCATAAATATATCTATGGTTGGGAACAATAGGAATTTGGGGAAATAATAACCATTTTCTAAAAGACAACATCCCTAAAAATGGGGATCTTCTCCCAAATGAGGAAACTTCTGCTCACTCTACCCCCTACCCTCATTACGATTTCAGACAGCTCCATGGGAAATGCAAGAGGTGTCATTGATCAATGTATGGATGATAAATTGGATTTGTTAAATTGTACATGATGCAGGGATAAAAAGCATAGATTGGGCAACTAGATGAACCAGAATTCTCTGTGGAAACCTGCTGCTTTACAGGTGACTTTGGGCAGGTCAGTTAACCTCACTGTGCCTCAGTTTCTCCTTATGTAAGACACAGATAAGAATAGCACCTATTTCATTTGGTGAGCACTGAATGAGGTAACACATCTCAAGTATTTTAGGACAATACCTGTTTCATAGTATGTTTTCAAAAATAAATATTAATAGCTGGTATTATTGTTGTTAGAATTGATGATTCCAGTTATTTCATTTAGAATAGCTACACAAGAACAATAGAGAAAAAAACACTTAAGATCTCTTCATTTTGAAGTTAAAAACAAAAACTGTCATTCATTCCATGTACAATGTAACAAGTGCTGGCAAGTTCCAGGCACCAAACGAACTGTAGAGGTGAGGGTGAGTACAGTAAATTATGTCCACTCCTGAGGGTCTTAGCATCTAGCAAGGAAGAGAAGATCCTCACACATTACAAGTAAACATTAGAACATGAGTTGAGAGAGTATAAATCATTAGGCAGGGTAAGGAAGCCCATAGGGTAGTGACATCAATTTGACAAATCTCTAGAACTTATATATCCAATGTATGAGGCTTCCCGAGAAATTGTTTCCACTCAAAAAAAATAATAACTTTTTAAAGATTTGCCACCGACATCCACTGGTTGGGAGTGTAAAATCTGTGCTTATTTAGGGGTCTTTTGGCAATGTCTATCAAAATGAAAAATACATGGCCTTCACTCAGGCATACTACTTCTAGAAATGTACTATATATATATATATTCTCACACATGTGCAAGGAAATATGTATAAAGATGTTCACTGCAGCACTATTAATTATACATTGGAAACAACTAAATGTCTCTCAACTGGTTCTCAGAGAAATAAATCACAGGAAATGTATATAGTGGAATTCTATGCAGCCATCAGGAAGAATAATGTGGATATGAAAGTGCTTATATGGAGACATGCCCTAGTCATACTACTGAACAAAAAGAGCAGCCTGGAGAATAAAATGTGAAAATTTCATATTAGCAATGAATTAATATGAGTCAGCAACTTCACTTCTGGGTTTGTTGCAGAAAAGAGAGTAGGGCGCGAGAGGAGGGTCCCATCCCAGGTCTCAGGTGAGTCCCTGGGATGGCCGCCAAGTGTGGGTTCTTGGCTTCACACAGGAAAGAATTAAAGAGTGAGCCATAGTAAAGTGAAAGAAGGTTTATTCAGGGAGATACACACTCCACAGACAGAGTGTGGCATCTCGGAAGGCAAGAGAGGCAAGAGGGTATGGGGCTGTCAGTTTTTATTGGGGTGGGTAATTTCATAGGCTAATGAGTGGGAGATTATTCTAGCCATTTTGGGGAAGGGGTGAGGATTTCCAGTAACTGGGCCACTGCTCACTTTTTGACCTTTTGTGGTTGTCCTTGTAACTGCCATGGAAGCTGGGGTGTGTCATTTAGTGTGCTGATGTGCTACAATGAGCATATACTGATGCTCAAGGTCAAGTAGAACTCGACTCAGCCATCTTGGACCTATTTGGTTCTAATCAGTTTATGTCGTGCCCTTGGGCTATGTCATTCTTTTTTTTTTTTTTTTTTTGCGGTAAGCGGGCCTCTCCCGTTGCAGAGCACAGGCTCCGGACGCGCAGGCCCAGCGGCCATGGCTCACGGGCCCAGCCGCTCCACAGCATGTGGGATCTTCCCGGACCGGGGCACGAACCCGTGTCCCCTGCATCGGCGGACTCTCAACCACTGCGCCACCAGGGAAGCCCTATGTCATTCTTTTAAAGGTTGTGCCCTACCCACTTCCTGTCTCAGGTTTATATCCAAAAGAACTGAAAGCAGGATCAGGAAGAGATAATTGTACACCTATGTTCATAAAAGCATTATCCACAATAATCAAATGATGGAAGCAACCCATGTGTCCACTGATGGATGAAGAGATAAGCAAAATGGGGTAAATACATACAATGGAATATTATTCAGTCTTAGAAGGGAAGGAAATTTTGACACATGCTACAACATGTATGAACCTGGAGGACATTATGCTAAGTAAACCAGTTACAAAAAGACAAATACTATATAATTCCAATTATATGAGGTACCTAGATTACTCAAACTTAGAAACAGAAAGGAGAATGGTGGCTGCCAGAGGGAGGAGGGGGAAATGGTGAATTGTTTAATGGGTACAGAGTTTCAGTTTTGGAAGATAAAAAAGTTCTGGACATTGGTTGATAACATTGTGAATGTACTTAATACTACTGAACTGTACAGTTAAAAATGGTTATGATGGTAAACTTTATGTTATGTGTATTTTACCACAGTTAAAAAGTTTTTAAATGAGTTGATGTGTTATGTGTCTGCAGTACATACGTAGCAATTTCTGGAGAGTCCATTAACAGTACTTGCTTTTTTTTCCATTGGATACTCATTTTTCTATTTTAAGGTTTTTATCATTTATGAGCTGTCAATTTAAAAACCTTAAAATTGTTTGATGAACACCAGTAACAGCACTTTTGGGTTGTTATGTGACCTGATGCCAAAAGAGTGAATTAAGTGCTATGGTTTTTCTGGGAGGAATGAATAAATAGTGGCAAAGAGTGGTCAGTACGGACACAAAGATAAGGGAGTTTTTCCTCATTTCAGAAGCAATGTAGCCGGAGCAGGTAGGGAGACGTTCTGACCAATTTCAGAGATGTTACAATGTGAGGGGCAAAAAACCCCGACAGTCCAGGGTGTGTTTGGAGGACTGAGACAACTAATCTGATGACAGTCTCAGTGAGGAGTGCTTAGGGATGACTACTAGAAAAGTAGACTGGGGCTATATGGTGGCAGGATTTAAGGGACCAACTGGCACATTTAGATTTTGTTCTAGTGATAATGCAGGGCCACGGAACATTTTGAGCAGCAGAGTGCCAAGTGGAAAAGTGGACAGAGGAAAATTAAACAGGCACTTTAGATTGAATGCTAGAGTGGGGAGGAGAGACAGGAAGGAAGTCAGGCCACAGTAATCCAGGGGCAGGGTGATGAGGTTCAGATTCAGCATGGGCATGTGCCATTTCTCCTTCTTAATCATCCTCTAGCCTTTCATCTGAGGTCCCTCCTTTTCTCTTTCAGACTGCCCAGTTCCCACCAACGGGGGGCATTTTATCCTCATCTGGTTCCAGCCTTCTTTTAACTATCTAGCATGTATAGCCACCTCTAGTCAGATGTGTGACAGCTTAATTGAATGAAATGTGCTTTGGATGGTTCATCTAGGTTTGTTTACAGGCATTTTTGTCTGGCTCATAAAGCTACTGTGGTCAGATTTACATCTGCCATCACTAATACTGCTCTGTTCAAGCTGACAGCCTCGCAGAGGTCTGCTTTCTCCATTCACTTCCTGGCCTCCAAGGCCTCCCATCTCCGCCCAGTTCAAACTTCACCTCTTCCATGAGGCTTTCCCTCACTACGTACGTCCTGAGGAATGTTTCTGTCCCTCACAGCACCTAACTGCACCACTCAATGAACAGCACACATTAGCATCTAGCCAAATGTGACCATGTGTCCACATTTATATTTTTACATATATAAATATGTAAATGCATAAGCATCCCTGTTCGTCTGCCAGATTTCTGGAGTTTGGGTAGCCCTGGCCCAGGCACAAGGCCTGACATCAGGAGATGAAGGGATGATTAGGCCCAGTAAGAAGAGGTGGGAGGCTGGGTCCCAAACCTGACACAGCAGGTGTCCACCACTAGGTGGTAGTGGTAATCAAGCATCTTCTTCCGCTCTCTGTGCCTCAGATTTCTTATCTCTTATCTTTTAAATAGAGATGTTATCTGCTTTGCTTGGGACAACATAATAATATGACCCTGGGCTAGCAACAGAAGAACCCTGGTTTCCAAACCGTCACCTTCACGGAAAAGCAGTGTGCTCTTTAAGTCACTCACTTTTCTGGACCTCATTATTCCTACGTATAAAAGGAGTTTAAACTAGATCAGAGGTTCTCCGAGTATAGTCCCCAGGGTTCCTGGGATCCTTTCAGGGGACCAACAAGGTCAAAGCTACTTGGATAACAATATTCACAGCTATTTCTCTTCACTCTCTCTTGTGAGTGCACGATATTCTTGTTCTAAGGATAACTTGTAATGGGTTTCTTACTGTTATTTTTAAATGAATACATTTAAAATTTTTCCTGTTTTCTTAAAAAGGAAATATATACGTATGATTGTGTATATGTATACATCCATCCTACAAAAACAAAAGTTCTTTAATGTCCTAATAATTTTTAAGTGTAAAGGGGTCGCGAGACCATAAAGTTTCAGAACCGTTGAACCAGATTCCTAGACCGTCATTCATTCACTCAACAAATAACTGCCCCTCCTGAGGCTGCATATTTTACATACCGAGGAGAAGGTGGTGATCAAGACGTGGAGCCCGCTCCGACGCCGTTTACATTTGGGAGGGAGGAGGCAAACGAATATATCAAGACAACTTCTGAGAGCGGTAAGTATCATGAAGGCATAAAGCAGGACACGTGTTCCATGCGCAGTGGAACCCTCCATTGTGCTGAGTCGGCCCCGGGCCCCTCAGGCCCCTGAGCTGGCCAGGAGCGGGGGCGCTGGTACCCCGGGACACCGAGACACCCAGGCACCGGGAAGCCGCGGGCGCTGACGTACCGTGACGTCACTCGGCCGCGCCAGCCAATCGCGGGCGGCCCCAGTCCTGGGCCGGCGGTGGCCCGCGGCCTGCGGGAGGCGCTGTGGCCCGTCGGGCGGCCCCGCGGAGCCGCCATAGCCTCCCGCCTCCCGCGACCCAACGTCTCCGCCGCCGGCCTCGCGCCGCCGCCATGGCCGACGTGGAAGACGGCGAGGAACCCTGCGCCCTGTCCTCTCACTCCGGGAGCGCAGGATCCAAGTCGGGAGGCGACAAAATGTTCTCTCTCAAGAAGTGGAACGCCGTGGCCATGTGGAGCTGGGACGTGGAGTGCGATACGTGCGCCATCTGTAGGGTCCAGGTGATGGGTAAGCGCTGCACGCGAGGCCCGGGCCGCGCGGCGGCCTCCGCGGGCCCGGCTCCGGGCGTAGGGGACAGACCGAGCCTCGGAGAGACTGTTCCTGGAGGAGTGGGGGCGGGGTCGCCCTGCCCCGGTGCCCGGGGACCGCGGGCCACGCCCGAGCTGTCGCCGGTCAGAGGGCTGCGGCCGCCGCCAGGGGCCGTGGGGTCGTTCAGCAGGCGCCCAGCGCTGGGGACTGGTATTCTGGGGAGAGAAATGGGTGGTAAGCAGTGCCGTTAAACAAGGTAATTTCAGGTAATGATGGGTGTGATCACGACAATAAAAGTAGGCGATTTGATGGGAGCTGGGAGGAACCACTTCGGTTTGTGTGGCCAGCTACGGCACCCTTTACAAAAAGCAGATCGCAGAGAGGTCAGGGTCGAGGCCCTGAGTCAGCGGGTCACTAAAGTGGTTCTGGTCACACACAACAAAGTGATGCTCTGGAGTCATCTTCCACAAAAACGACCCCTAGTCGTGCTCTGAGGAGGCGCAGGGAAGAAAAATGTTCCTAGCCGTTGCCTTTCTGGATGGGCTACTGTTCTGCTGGCTTTTAAAGCTGGATGATTCGAGACTGGTCAGATAGCACTCGCTTGGCTTGAACGGGAACATCGATGTAAGCCCTTTTATTCAGAAACATAAAACTTCATCTCCTTCCTGGTCCCTTCCTATCATAGGATGCCATTTCTTGGAGAAGACAGTGCCCTGAAGTCAGACCTTTATGGAAAACCCTCTTTTACAAATAACTGTTACTTCTTTCTATGATATTTTTAATAAAAATATTGAACCAAGTGAAACCTTTTAGAACAGCTTCATCTCGTTATGTTTTATATGGTTTATGTTTTAAGATCTCCGACCACCTTGAAAAAGAGGTGCTCTTGAAATGCACGTTATGTTTTTAAATAGGGCATTTAAAACTCCTGCATTTAAGAGCATCTCCCGTTGCGGAGCACAGGCTACAGACGCGCAGGCTCAGCGGCCATGGCTCACGGGCCCACCCGCTCCGCGGCATGTGGGATCTTCCCGGACCGGGGCACGAACTCGTGTTCCCTGCATCGGCAGGCGGACTCTCAACCACTGCGCCCCCAGGGAAGCCCTTAAATGTTGTTTCTTGAAGGTAGTTGGAGAACACTGAGGTTTCTATAGTTTGAAAGCTTTGTGTCTTGCACTGAAAAATGAGAGAATTGGAGAAAATAACTTAAAAATTGCTCTCCCTTCTTGAGGAATGAAAATTGAAACCTACCAGAATGAAGCGATTTCTCAATTTACTGTCTTTGTAGTATGCTCTTATGTTTTTTATTCATAAGGATTTGTTTTAAAGAGAATTTACAACCATGGGATTCAAACATTTTTTACTTTTAAAAGAACTTGATTTCAGATGTGATCTGCCTATATTGTGTATCAAGTTTTAAAAGTACCTAGTTTATTGGCCTGCAATACAGCTCCCTTGTCCTTCCCCTTTCTTAAAAACTAGAATCATAATTTACAGTTTGAGTGACATTTTTAACTTATCCAGGCGATTTTTGTTCTTTTGTACGACAAACTGTTAAAAATTTTATCCCCTAAATTTCCTTTAGTTTAAAAAAAAGAATTTCCTAAAAGAACATTTTATTTTTCTCCCCAAAGAAAAATTTTAAAATAGTAAACAGAAATGCAAAATTTAAAATAATGGTTGCAATTTTGCAAGAAATAAACTTTCCTGGGATATTTAAAGTAAGTCAAAGTATGGGCTGTAAATGACTCAGGGTTCACATTAACTTTCTAACTATAGCAAGTATTCTGCTACTGTGGATTAATGTTACAGATTTACAACAGCTGTGCTTTGGGTTCAGGAAAGTATTCTGGACTAGACCTCTGTATTTTGTTTATGAGGTGTTAAAATCCACTTAGTGGTCAGGTGACAGCAGAAGGAAGTTTGTTTTTTAGCATCATTCTGAAAGGTGTTACTATACTCTTTAGAAATGTGCTGTTTTAGATATTAGGAACATCATCAAAAGAAAATGTTTTCCTTTATCTGCAACGTTAGTCATTTTTAGCCATTTAGGTCAGTTTTTGATAATGAATCTAAATCCAAGCTATAAGCATAATTCAGAGACTTGTAGATTATACAAAGAGCCCACTTAATCCCATGTCCTTTATATTTGGAATTCATCTCACACGCCTAAATGATTGGTTATGACTTCTGGATCTAAGATTTGCCTGCCAGCCCACTCTGATGTAGTTAACGCTCTCTTCCTGGGTTTCCACTCTCCCCGCTTCATTCTGAAAGGAGCAGATGGCACAGCGAGCAAGCACTGGTAAGGAAGAGGCGACCAGGTTTGCTAGTGCTGTCAAGTTATGAAGAGCCAGAGTAACCTTCCACAGCTGTATGTTAACATGGACGTTTGAGCTAACTTTTTGGAGCCTTGTTTTCCTAATTTGTAAAAGAGACAGTTGGGACCATGAGCTTTAATTCTGTGATTACACAGGACCAGAGCCATGTCTTCACCCTTATATCATGATCCTTATGATATTTAGTTGTTTGCCTATCTACCTCTCCATTTACTGGTGAGACCAGGGACCCAGACTTGGTCATTTTGGTGTCGGCAGTGCATTACTCTTTGCACAGAGTAGATACTCAGTAATTGTGGAATTGAAGAAGGCCTTAGGAGGCGGTGGTTGTTTTTAATCCACACTGAAGAGGCCAGGGTGGTGTGTTTTCTTAAGGGTGAGAGCACGCAGAGAGGAGCAAACAAATGCCTGAGCACAATCCAGTGTAAGAAGAGAAGCAGGCTTCAGCTCCACCGTGTTTCTATTTTTACAGAATTATTTTCCTCCAATTTATGTTAAAAACTATTTTTTTCTGTTTGTTTGAACTTCCTTTTACCCAACTTTGACTCCTTTCAGCTAGTGAATGAGTCCATTTCATTGGTTCCTAAAATATTCTATATTACCTCCTTCATCAAACAAATAGTAGTACAGATTCAATTTTGAAAACTTCTAGTATACCCTTTTGGTTCCCATTCCTCATGTTTTCTCCCAGGTAATTTATTAAAATATTTTACTGTTGTCGGGTAAATGCTTTGGGCTCAGAGGGAGCATTTCCTTAAAAAGAAAAAAAGAGAACCTAGTATTTAGGAGTTTTTTACATTTAATTTTTATAGAAATTATACAGTCACATAACTTAAAAACTTGAGAAAGTACACAGTGAAAACTCCTTCCCGTTCCATCCCCTCCCAGGTAAACTTTATTATTAGTTTCTTGGATATCATTCTAGAGTTTCTATCTGTGTGTAAGCAAATACAATATATATGCATGGCTTATTTAAAAGGATGTCTTGAAAATAAACTACTCATAAGGTTGATCTGTGTGAACATGCCCAGTGAGCTTATAACTCCTAATAAAGTGGAGTATAGCATATTTTTCTGTGGTGGTTACATCCAAGGTCTTTTCATCAGAACTTGTAAAAATAGAGGGTCAGTAACCCTTGTGAAATTGCTCATGGTCATAAGTAAATTAGTAGAGTGCCTTGTACTTTATTCATCTTTAAGCAGTTATGTTCAGATGAGAAATTAATAGTATGAGTCTTTTAATCTACATCTCTAACCCTTTGGGCCTTTATTTGACTTTGAAGTGTATGGGTTTTAAAAATTGCATTCTGAGCATCAGAATGAGAATTGCTATTTGTTTACTTTTAGATGCCTGTCTTAGATGTCAAGCTGAAAACAAACAAGAGGATTGTGTTGGTATGTTGTAATTTTGTTCTCTTGCTTTTTCAACTGAAGATTTTCTCTCAGTGGGGATGTTTGAATTTGCAGTTAAGATTGACTTTATCAATACACAAAAATAAACTGTAAAGCAGTGATCCATTATTAATATAAAATGTGTTGGTTCTCAGATGGTCTTAATGGAATTAACCTGTAAGTCCTTCAGTTGCTTTAATTGAGGAGAATTGGTTATATATTCTAGACATGGGCATGGTAAACATTTTGATAATCAAAAAAGAAATAATTCTTTTCTATTAAGAAGAGTATAAAATAAGGAATTTGCCAAAACATCCTTCAAGTTTTGAGTATGTTACAGGTTAGTTTTGGTCAGTCAGGATTTTATTCTAACAAAGCATTTCAGTATTCAATATTCTTTTATGATCCGGTATTTAACTTTTCTACTAAGGTAAAAACAATTCTAAATCTCAAGATTTTTTTGGATGTAGTTTATAGATAGAAGTTTGTTAAATTTTATTTACATCTGGGGCTACAGAAGTTGTCTTAGGCCAAATATTTAAGCAACTCAAAGGTTTTTATGTCCCAGTTCTTGAGGTCATCACTTCTAGATTGCTATATAAAAGTGTTTAAAGATTTTCCTGAAATGAAAGGTTACCTTTGTGTTTGTGTGGTTTACATACAGCTTGTTAATGATTTATGTAGTTTTGATCAAATCCTGTTTCTTCCTCTCAAAAGACTTAGAATGAGTCCCCTAGCTTCCTACTCCTACAACCAATTTTCACAAAAAGGTTTGTTTCCTGTTTTTTTTTTCCTATTTCTTTTATTGTTCTGTTATAGCTCAGTTGGTCAAGCAAGGGATAAATGAAGCCCATGTTTGAGATTGTATCCCAGATTATAGGTGATTTCCCTTGGTTAAAATTTTTTCTTCGATTCTGTTTGTTTTAAACATTTTCATTTGGGAATTGTGAGGTGTAGGCCATCTTTATTTGATCATAGAGAGACCCTTTTCTTGAAAGAGACCTCTCTTTCAAAGCCAGCCACTTTGAAAATTCCATTCTGTTTGTCACGTGAGGAATTGCACTGCCTGTGGATGACTTAACACAGATCCTCACCACTTCCAGAAAACAACTCATTAGAGGTACAACTAATAATGTTTAGAAGCATGTCACCTGTTTATAATAGCCTGCTCTGAGCTAAAAACATTTAAAATTCATTATATCTTGCTAAATAAAAATCAGGAGGACATTTTTCAGTAAAATAAAGACCCAAAGGTCTCCAGGGTCAGTGCCTGACTGAGGTAGTCTGGGATCTAAGGAAGACTAAAGTCTTTTAATCTCCTAACTTGAGAAAGACACCATGTGGAGCTATGTAGGAACTGGGGGCCACCACAGCACCCACAGATTCTAAGCAGTGATGGAAAGTTCCCAAGCACAGAGGTGTATCTCATTTCTTAAGTGTAATTTACATATGTAAGGTTCCATTTCTTTATAGCTAGAAAAAATTATTTTGACCAGTTAACCATCTTTATTCAAGATTGAATAATAATTAGGGTTACATAATTATTACATAATCTAAATTATTATTTAGATTATTATTACATAATGTAAAATAAGGTAGAATTTTGAGCTCGGTAATTTAAATTGAAATATGTAATGTCAGATATTCTTTTTTTTCTTTCAGTCGTCTGGGGAGAATGTAATCATTCTTTCCATAACTGCTGCATGTCCCTGTGGGTGAAGCAGAACAATCGCTGCCCTCTCTGCCAGCAGGACTGGGTGGTCCAAAGAATCGGCAAATGAGAGCAGTGGAAGGTGTTCCTTGTGCAGTTGTTCGGAGCCCTGGTGGATCTTGTTATCAGGTGCCCTACAAAGGCTAGTACTCTCCAGGGGGCTAATTCTTTGAATCGGACGCGGTGGATCTGCGGTCTTTTGGGACTCATCAGAGGCATGGGTTAGCCTTTTTCAGTTTTATTTGCAGAAATTCTCTACAATTAAGAAGATAATTTATTAAAGATGGTCTTTCCTACCTCTGTGGTATGTGTCTCACACACTGCTTATAAGTGCTATAAAGGAGAGAACTATAAATTGAACGACGTTTATAATTTACCTACTGATATCCAAGGAGCTATGGAAGCAGTTCCGTTCAGAAGAGAACTTTTTGCATGCTTGTGGTTGATCAGTTTAAAAAAAAAACAAAAAATATTATAGTAACAAATAAAGTGCAGTTTAAAACCCAACTCTTATCCTTAATCTGTTCCTAATATTTATTTTTGGCAGGGAGGGGGATGATTCATGAAATCTTTATTTGATATTATGAGAACTTAAAGTTTGGACCAGTGAACAGGGTAAATAAAATTTAACCTTTGGTTGTATGAGATTTCAGTGGTGGTCTACGTTATCATCCCCTGTCTCTGACCCATCGAGAAAACCTAGGTCTGCACTCACCTCACTGTTCAGTTACTGAGTGGTCAAGGACAGAAGTATTTTCAAGATCTAGTCATATTGCGTTGTAATTTAACTGTGTTTTAGGTGGAATGTTAATGAGGGGAAAATGTTTACCATTGTAGCATTGGATCAAAAAGTTTATTTTATCACACCATGTTTTAATAAACGGTTTATTCTGTTTACCTCATTTGAATGGTCATTATTGCAATTTTATGCACAGCCTTCAACTTAATAAGCTAATTTGTCAAGTGAATGCTTTTGTTTAATTTGAAAAACTATTCATTTGCTCTTTCATTGGTGGTAATAAAATTTTAACTTTATTACCTAGAAACGTAAGTGTAAGATAATATTTAAATTTTATCAAACCAACTCACATTCGGTGGAAGTTATCAAGGAACAATTTGTGAACCACAATTTATGAACCCATGAATTTTTCCATAATGGAGGCTACTGCTATGCATTTAAAAAACCAAAATCTTAACCATTCACTTCTGCAGTTTCAGAGTTTGCCAATCTGAATCTCTTTGAATCTAAGGAATGTGAATACATAAAAGAATATTAAAAATATAATAATTAGGGCTCCCCTGGTGGCGCAGTGGTTGAGAGTCCTCCTGCCGATGCAGGGGACACAGGTTCGTGCCCCGGTCCGGGAAGATCCCACATGCCACGGAGCGGCTGGGCCCGTGAGCCATGGCCGCTGAGCCTGTGCGTCCAGAGCCTGTGCTCCGCAACAGGAGAGGCCACAACAGTGAGAGGCCCGCGTACCGCCAAAATATATATATATATATATATATATAATAATTAAAATAAAAATTAGAATTCTGTATGCCTTCACCTTGCCTATTTATTTCTTGTAGATTTTGCTTTATTTTTTTCACAATTATCTACTGAAAGAATTAATCACAGTATACAAATATGTTTGGACCATTTGAATGAGTTTCTTGTGCAGTAAGCTGTTTTAGCAGCTCTTTAATCTTTTTAAAAGGTTGTGTCTATAAAATGTGAACTAAATATTTGGCTTTGCAATGAAGAGAAATAGAATGTTGAGTTATTTCTGTCAGTATGACAGTATGTAAATGAAATGTAAAGGATGGTGGTAATAAGTTGATTTTCCACACGGCAAAACTGCAGGTCCACCGTCTAACAAAGCTCTGTTTCTATTACACATCAGCATCTGAGGGTAGAAGAGGAGGGACTGGGACAAAGCAGCACTGATCCTATACCCAACCTGGGATGATATCAGCTCATTTGCATAGCCACCTGAAAGTTCAGTACACGTTGTTTCATTAGAAGGAACATGCTGTGACATTTATGAATTCCAATGCAAAGCATTGAACAGGTTTTTCTTTCCATTTGATTAAACAATGTTGAATTTTACTTCACTAGTGTATTGGAAACACATTTGTCATCTTTGGCTGTATAACTTTCCATCTATGCAAGTTGCATTCTTGTATTAACAGCTGACATCTAAGTAAATCTCACCCTACCAAACCCACTACTTCCTTTTTATAAAAAAAAAGTCCCATTTACTATCCTGAAGTGAAATTCATAAATATATCTCCACACATAATTAAAATGTATACAATAATTGTAATATAAAGTAGAAATAAAAGGAAAGTAATTTATAATTCATTTCTTTTTCAGTATGTAAATGCTTGAGCACAGTTACACCAGAAGACATAATGAAGTAGGCTGATGAGTGCATGCATGTGTGTGTGTGTGTGTGTGTGTGTGTGTGTAGTCACTACACGAAGACAGCAACAATGTAGACTATTGTGACTCAGAAACATGAGGAACATTTCCATTGATAAGACTTTTTTTCCCCCAAAATGGTGAACTGTGCTAGTAAAGTTCTGAACAACACAAATTTACAATCTTGATTTGCAATTTAGTTGCATATCTGGAAACCTCAATGGATTTTAAAGCGATGCAGAAATGTACTTTGTGTTTTTATGGAAAAAGAAGTTAGGTTCTAGGCTCAGATAATAATAAACAGACTTTCTACTACATGAATGAACCTTCGAAAGTCGCTCAGGGTGCTGAACCATGTTTCTTCATGTGAGACTGTCTCACACGTTCCAAGACACCAGAATTCCCTGGCCTCTACCCACCAAACACCAGTGGTGCCATCAATCTTTGTGCCATCCAAAGAGAACATTTCCGAAACATCCCTTTTAGAGGTAGCATAGGCTGTTTGGGGAGCAACGGTTTAAGTGCTTGTACAGGCAATTACATACTTTGCTACCACTGTCCTAATCCTAATATGACACAATAATTTTTTTTAAGTATAAAGGGTTCAGAATTTTGAATAACTGCTATCCTAAAACGAAGAGTTCATAGAGCCAAATCTTACAGATCTGTGCCCTCTTCTCTAGAGGTGTGAACAGCTATTAAATTAGTGTTTAATACCTAGGACACACATATGATGGTGAATACTCACTTTAGGCTTAAAGAAGAAGCCTAAAATTGTTTTATAGAACGGAAGCTAATGTAGGAGGCTTTACGATCAGAAAAAACATTTTTTTAATTGTTCCTTTAGAAGTTTGGTAGACATCTGATAAGAAAGGTAACTGTTAAAACAATGCTTTTTTAGAATATTGCCAAGGGCTAACTTTGGGTAATGCTCTGAAAAGAAAATGAGAAAATTTCCATGTTTACTTTAGTAAGCCCTTGTTTTAAAAAACACTTAAAACGTTACTGATTTGGATGTAAGGAAAATTGGAATTAAAGTACAAATAAAATTTAAGCTATTTTATATTGGATGTCTGAATGATGTAACAAAATACATGAGAAATGTTTACATGATCGTTCCTTTTTTGCCATCTTTTTTTTTTGGCCATGCCATGCGGCATGTGAGATCTTTGTTCCCCGACCAGGGATGGAACCTGTGCCCCCTGCAATAGAAGTGCAGAGTCTTAACCGCTGGACCATCCCTCTTTTGCCATCTTTATGTCATTCCATTTCTACCACGGTTAGATTTTGTTCAACAGAATATGTCTTACAGGAAAAGTATTTTTTCTGCATTTTGCTACTCAGTTTAAAGGCTGAGAGCTGAAACTCTAGTGCCAGGATACCTGGATTTGCATCCCAGTGCCACCATTTATCTGTGTGACCTTGAAGTTACTTGACCTCTCTTTACCTAAGTTTCCTCGTGTACAACGTAGGTAATAATAATAATACCTACCTTACTAGATCATTTTGAGGATTGAAGATGAAATGGATTAATACACACGTAAAACTGACAACAGTTTCTGGCACATAGTAAGTGCTACTGTTGTTACTTCATTTTAGTCATTTTTGGAAGCTCCTTTAATAGAAGTGGCACTTTAAAAATAATGTGTTTTTAGTTATGGGGTAAAGCACTCCTAACTGTTCTCAACAGAAGTTTTGTAAGAAAAAGTTAATTGTTGTAAACATGTTAGATTACTTGTAGCGCTATGAGATTTTGTGGAGGATGGTAATGAGGCCTTCATGACTTGCCTGTTACACTTTTTTCTAATCATTCAGTCAACATGATTTCCAGATTTTATATTAAGAAAAGGTCTGTAAATGTTGAGCTCTATTTTTAATTTTAGGTGTCCCATCTTAGTAGAAATATTTCATCAGACCTTGCAGATATGAATATAGCAGTACATTTTTAAAAATTTTATTGAAGAATAGTTGATTTACAATGTGTTAATTTCTGCTGTACAGCAGTGATTCAGTTTTATATATATATATATATACACACACATATATATGTATAAAGTTCCCTATGCTGTACAGTAGGACCTTGTTGTTTATCCATTCTATATATAATAGTTTGCGTCTGCTAATCCCGAACTCAGTTCATCCCTCCCCCACGGCAACCACAAGTCTGTTCTTTATATCAAGCAGTACATTTTTTGACCACTTGATTTGGGAGATATCCACATGTTCAGAAAATCAGTCTTTTTGACAGCCCTCGGTTTTTATCTTGAAAGACTTTCAAAGCAGGAATAAGCTTTACAATCAATCTCCTGCTTTCTCTTGTCTACGCACTGGATAAACCTGAGTCAGTGGCTAGAACTCACCCTGCTTTTCCTAGGTTGGCTGCAAGCAAGCTTTCCTGAGTGACTATAGCGGCCATATAGCTTAGTAGTAAGATGGCAATTCTGGAGCCACTCAGCCTGGCTTGGAATCTCAGCTCCATCTGTGTGATATTGCACAAAGTCCTTAACTTCTCTGTGCCTATTTCCTCAATTAAAATGGAATCATAATAGTATCTACCTTATAGAGCTGCCATGAAGATTAAATGAGTTAGTGCATGTTAACTGCCTAGAATGACACCTGAAGCAGAGTAGGCACTCAATAAATGGTAGCCATCATTATAGATCACTACTGCCACTGCCAATCTCTGGCTTAATTAGAGAATGGCCTTTCAGAAAGGTATATTGCTTGCAGTGATGCTTCTTGTAAGAATCCTGATGTTTGTGTGCACCTATAACCTGTAAAGAACTGTCAAGATGGGTTTTTAGGATTAGGAGAAAGGTTTTCAACCTTTTTTTTTTTTTTTTAATCCACCTCAACACATCCGAAAAGCACATTTCCATCAGTAACAATGGGCCCTCCCACAAAGATTCCCCAAAAAAGTGTGTGTGTAGCAAACGGGCAGGGAGGAGAATTAGAAACAACTGCCCAGATGAAAATCTCAGGTAAAAAACTTGGAACTATTTTAGCACAGACGAAATGTTCTATGCCAGTTGCATTTTATCCTAGCCTCTAAGGAGAAGCCTACTAACTATCTAAATTTATTGGAACTTATATCGAATATGTAACTAAATTCTCTCTACCAAAATTTTAGTGTAATAGAATAATCAGAATTCTTGCCAAACCATCAGGGCTGTGACTTTATAAATCCAAATACTACATAGCACAGAACAAGTTTTGCATGGTTGGTATACAGTCATGTAAGAATTGTAGCGATTCTTAGACCCTCCTTGTAAATTAACCCCTGCAGTGCTAACCCCTGCTCTGCTTTTTCTACTTTTATAAACATTATATATATATGACATTACATATTGATAATAAAATGGGATTATTTATTGCTTGCAATAACAATAGACGGAATTTGAATACAAAGAAGTTTGCTAGCTTCAGATATGACAGGGCCTGTTAGGGAATGTTCGATTTACAATGGAATTGTGGAGTGGAATGCAGTGAGCCTTC